AGTGGGTAAAAGAGGGTTTTGAACGGGAACATTATTCATTACACGGTTTGGAAATTTGGAAATAAAATTTTTTATTGAAATTGGAGGTTCGGGGAGTAGTAATGAATCAAAAATTAATATTTTCTCGCGATTAATTATAAAAAATGCAATCCAATGTGATCCTCTTTGAGTAGCTTTTTCAAGGTTGACGACCAATGAACAAGGATATTTTTGTATTTCCTGAGGGATTTTGTCTGCGGCAAAGCATCCAATAAAATATCTACTAGTTATTCTGTTGTTTAATAAAATTTTCTCGATTTGTATAGTGTCCATTTTCGTCAAAGAGGTGGAGGTTTGAATCTTTTCTTTGAATCTCTCCAAGTTCGATATCTTTGCTGCTGCCTTTAATCTTTATAAATTTTCTCAGTTGATAGGTCAATGCTGTTGCTAGCAATAAAAGCCAGAGGGCAATTAATGTATAACAGTAAATAGTCTGAGCAATTGATGTTTCTGATGAAGGAAATTCCTTGCAAGGAGAGGGAAATTGAACATTTTCGACGTGTTCCATTGACCAAAAATCCAAGATTGTAATATTTTTCTCAGGGTTAAAGTTAGATGCTAGCCCAATTGTATTTTGTACTCTTTGTGGAATTATTGGGAATTTTGTCGAAGACGAATTAATCATTTGTTCTGGTTTAGGAATTATTGTATTAGCGTAATAACCTATACGTTCTCTTAATTTTTCTCTATATTCTGGATGTTCATCCTCGTTAGACATAGAATATTGTTGTGTAAATTTATACAGGAAGAAAAATAAAATGAAACAAACAAAGCAAAATTCAATTTTTATAGTAATGTGACACATTTTTAAAATGAAATGGGAGAATGAAAAAATAAGGAAAATTGAGGGTATTTATACTGAAATATCTGTAGAAATAGTTCTGTTCCTATCTAACATTAGCAGCGAATCGATTTCACCCATGGCTACTAGTACAATACCTCCACTAGGAACCGGTTCGTTAAAGGTCATCCGTATACTTGTTGTACCATTCTTTATTAAATCAAACATCTCTGGGCCATTATCTTCCTGGCTATTTGTAAGGTTAAATACGAAGAAGCAATATCCTGCATATGCATAACGAAACATTGATATACCATTACTTTCTAGGGATCCCGCGTACCCTATTGCTTCTTGCATGTCATGATAAATTCTAGCATAGTTTCCTTTAGGAAAATCAAGGGAATAAGGGGCTGCTGGAAAAGTTACTCCTCCAGCAGTAATGGAAATATCTCTCAAATTAAAGTGTTGAAAATAAAATGGAGTTGTTTTTTGCCGTCCTACAAAATCTTTATTATCAACCATTCCCAGTATAATTCTTCGGGGCACCTGATCCATCCATAGGTTAGCATTAAATTCTGTTCTATTTTCACTGATGAATAAAGATTTCAGAGATGTTTTTCTTATCGGGTATCTCGCGGGTTTTATTTCAAGTTTTTTCGCAATATCAAAGGCTAAGCTGTCCATCAATTCAATCTTCTTTACATATAATTTGCAAGCCAAAATTTCTAGATGATATTTTGGGGCAGTGTCCCAGGGAGCACTAAGCAGGAAACTTGATTCATTGGGCAAAAGTTCAATATCAACTTCGCATTGGTTTACTAAATATCTTGGTTGATTACAAATATCAACATCCAGTTTGGCCATAAATTGTGCAGTACGCGGATTTCCATCTTCGTCTAAGAATAATCTTTTCCTTGATTTAACTCCATATCCATTAGAATCAATTCCTGGGTATGTTTGAGTGGGTCCATCATCATAATATCCCGCCACAGAAAGATAAGAGTTCTTCACACTTTGTGGGTAGGTTAGTTCATAGTCAAAAATACTTTTGTATGCCATGAGGGAGTTCCCTTCAAAAACCTGAGTTCCATTAATATGCATACGGCAATTTTTCCAAAGTGTGTGGCCTATAAGTTGCACTGCCGATACATTATCATCCTTTCCTATATCAACAAGTTTCCCATCTTTGTCCTCTTTTTTAATCCTAAGTTCAGTAAAAACATAAGTTTTGGCCAGATCAATATAATTTGTAGTCGCATGAATTTTGAAATGAAAAGGGGTGATATTTACAGGGTTGAGTGTGAGTAATTCAATAAATGAGGAGTTGCTAATACTGACATTTGTGTGGGGGGTTTCGAAAAATGATAAAGCAGTTGTTATTGCGTTGCCAGAATCGCGATCAATTTTCTGATGAGTAGACATTTTTATTTAATAAAGACCGAATGTATCTATTTTTTGACGCTTCTTTTTTGGGGTAAGAGATGGAGGTCTGCCAATAATGAGTTGATGACTATTTTCTTTTGAAAATGATGAATGGGGTTTACGTTTTCTTTTGAGTCCTTTTATACTACCTCTGGCTCGCAATCCGGTTCCAAATTGTTTTGGCAATCCTCCTTTCTCGAGTAATCTGTCCAAACCCCGTTTTCCTTCACTTATTACTGTCTGCTTAAAATTTGGGTTAGAATCTTCTTTGCCATATTCTGGATTCCCCACACTTTCTAAAATTCTTCCACCAGTATCCAATGCCTCCTTTGCTACAGCTGTACCCGCGCGTTTTGCATACGGTAGGAGGAAACGCCAAAAATTTCTGAGTACATCTCCGACTCCACCACCCGCTTGTCTCCCGTATCCACGTTGATAAGGATTTAGTCCACGAAAATAGTAATAGTTTTCATCTGCGCCTTGTCCTACTTGGCTGATAGATATATGATGGTCGTCGTAACCGATTGTCCTTGGGTCAAAGGCTATATGAACCATGTTTGGCTTGGTTTGGAATGTTATGTAGAATTAAGTTAAGTGATCTATTGTAGTTATCTTAAGTGATAATTGTAGGATAGTGTTAGGGATAAATGAAAGTTATATAAATTAATTGAAGGTGTTTAAATTTTATATTATTTTAAATGAAGAGATAAATTTAAGAGAGAATGTGAAGGTGATCTTTTGAACATTGACATGCTAAGTGTTGGCGAATTGGGAGTTGGCATTTTGTCGTTGTGGCATTTTGTCGTTTTGAGATTTCGAAATCTTCGTCGTTTTGAGATTTCGAAATCTTCCCCTTACATTCTTACTTCCGCCCTTTTTTTCAAATCATTTTAATATTTTTGTAAAATTTTGTAAAAATTTATCTCTCCCTATTTTTTATTTTTTAATTAATTTATTTTTATTTTTATTATTTTTAAAACTACCGTACCCCGGACCCCTGCCCCCAACTTTTTTCAGTCCCAGACTGAAAATCCCTGACTCGAAAATTTCAGTCCCAGACTGAAATTCCCAGCCCAAAATATTTCAGTCCCAGACTGAAATTCCATTCTACTACAAGAAGAATAATTTTTCCCGCAAATGACCTTGAGAGGGAAATCTTCCTCCTCTTCCTCCGCAGACTGCGCCGAGATTTCAGTCCTAGACTCATTAATCATCGATCAATTAGATAAGATCTTGAGAATTTGAAATAATTGGTTACCTCCCCCTTACATTTTGACTTCCACCCTTTTTTGCAAATCATTTTAATTTTTTTGTAAAATTTTGTAAATTTTATCTCTCCCTATTTTTTATTTAATTTATTTAATTTATTTTTTATTTAATTTATTTTTATTAATTTTACCGTACCCCGGACCCCGGCCCCCAAAATATTTCAGTCCCAGACTGAAACCTTGTACCTGTATCTTGTACAAGGTACAAGTACCTTGTACAAGTACAAGGTACAAGTACCTTGTACTTGTAATCAATCACATTAATCTGTCACCCCATCAATAAAAATCTGGCAATCGGGAACCTGAAAGTACCCCACACCAATTGGTTTCCCTTGATCACACCGCCAAACTCGGACAAATGGGACTCGGACAAATGGGATAACAACTCGGACAAATGGGATTTACTTGTACCTGTCAATCAATCACTTGTACCTGTCAATCAAAATTGACAACTCGGACAAGTGGGATGATTAATTACCCCAAACCCCCTGGTTTCCCTTTGATCATGCCGACAAACTCGGACAAATGGAATGAGTAATTGCCCCACACCCTTTGGTTTCCCTTGATCTTGCCGACAAACTCAGACAAATGGGATGAGTAATTGCTAGGGACAGCCAAAATATGCACGGAAAATCGCCAAATATGCGCATATATATGCACCGAAAAAGCCCAAAATATGCACCAAAATATGCAAAATTTGCCAATATATGCACTGAAATATGCACCAAAAAATAGTTAAAATATGCTTTAAAAGTCTATATTTTATGTTAAAAACATTAATTTAACCTTTAATTTTACATTTTGAGAGCAACTCTAAAAGATTTAGTGGATTTAAAATTTCTGCAAAAAAAATTTTTTTTTAATTTTTCCTAAAAAATTTTTCGAAAAATATTTTTTCAAAAAATTTTTGCAAAAAATTTTTTTGTCTAATAAATTTCAAAATTTTGGTCAATTTTTGGCAAAATTTTACAAAAAATGTCAAAATATGGACCAAAATATGCAAAATTTCCCAAAATATGCACAAATATGCAAATATGCGCGAAATGGTCGAAATATGCAAATATATGCATTAAGAACCGGGTCTTAAAGTGCTCGTACATATGTAAAAACACCATTTTTGGGCTTCCCACTTCAAGGCATATCCGCATACAAAACATGCATTTGCATGTTTTGGCTGTCCCTAGTAATTGCCCAAAACCCTTTGGTTTCCCTTGATCTTGCCGACTGAAACCTCCTATACCTTTTGATTTTTACCGACAGACCCCTCCCCCACCTAAATGTCCGAAAAATAGGTCGGACATTTGGGGGGGGGTAACTACTGCGATAACTGAAATTTTTGGAAATCGGGACTGGACTGAATTTGAGAATGCCCACCAAAAATTAAGGGAGTCTCCTATTTTAGGGGATCGAGACGGCAGGATCACTGATGATGGCATATTAATTAAAAAGTATATTAAACAAATTTTTTTCAGAATTTCTTAATTTTTTACCCCGGCGTTGTCGAGCTTTTCAAAATCATATTTATAAAGGCTCATCAACCAACGTAACGAATAGCAATGGCGAAACCCATCGGAATTTAATACAATCCCTTGTACATTTGACTCACATTTTGTTGTATCAGTTGATGTCCATTTTCTTTTAGTTGTGCATAAGTCCTATATAATAAAATGAAAAGTTTTATTAAATTTTATCTGACATATAATATGTATACATATAATGTGAAAATGGCATATAAAATGACATAATATACTAAAAATGCTAACGCGAGTTAGCTTTGTTACAGTAAAATCGTTCAACAATAAAAATTACGCACTCCGAAATAAGGTTGGCGATTCGGATCCGGTAAAAGGATTGATATCAGGAAATTTTCTGTTCGGATATCGGATCCGGATATCCAAAATTTTGGATCCGGGTATCGAATCTGGATTGATATCCGAAGATTTCCAACTAACCGCCAACCTTACTCCGAAGGAGCAACTGCTTTTCGTTTAAAACATACAGTTATGTCAGAACCATCACCAGAATCAATTTGAACTCTTGCTAAGGCCACAACAAGTCTAAGTCCTTCTCTTATACAAGGAATTGTTGAATTTGGCTATAAATTTAAAATTTTTTAAATTGTAAATTTTCCTACTCTTTTAGTTTTATCCTTAAAATCCTCAACCAATTGAACAATTTCTTTTCTCTCTTGATCAGTTAATATTCCATCAGGATCACAAACCCATGCTGGTCTTGTAACCCCACATTTCCAGTAAGTTGCCTCTCTAAGGGATGGATAATCATCCCAAGTCCACGATTGGATTTTGATTATTAAACAAATTAGAATTATTAGAAATTTGATTAGAGAATTGATCATTTCTTTACAGAAATTAAAAAATATTCCCTATAAATAAATATCAAATGAAAATTTTTAGATTAGATTACACTAACTTTTATAAACTGAGAGCTTTACATAGTGCTAAATTTATAATCAGCCTTTTGTTTATAAACAATCTACATTGATTTATTTTTATTTAATCTCTGCAATAAATTAATCAAATATTTAGTAACACAATTATTGTGATGAATCAGAACTGTTTCGAAACAAAAAAAACTTTGAAAATATGAAATCAAAAGTCGAAATTCCGAAACAGTTTTGTCATAAATAGTGATAAAAATATTTTAGTTGATCACTGGGTTGTGATACTTTCTGGACGATATACCAAGAAACTCCTTATATGCCATATATTTTTGTTAGTGTGAAACAGACATAGTTGGTACTACGGAGGGAACATTTTTGGTAGTGTGGAAAGGACGAATGTAGTACGAAGGACACCCGGTAGTGGGAAGAGTATATATTGGTAGTGGGAAGAGTATATATTGGTAGTGGGAAGAGAACATCCTTGCTAACCGATACCCTACCCCTCCCCCTTTTTTCACCCTTATTATAAGACAATATTTTCAGTCATATCTATAGGTATGTTCAAATTTATTTGAAACAATTTAAATGTTTAATAAAAGTTTTGATTTATCCTCAACTTCCTTCTTTCTCTCCTTCTTTACAATTACTTCCAGAGGCTGTACTGGTGTCCGTTTAAAATAATTTCCAACTCGGCATATTCGATAAATTAAAAATAAAAGCACCAGGCCAATAATTAAACAAATTAAGATTGATATTATTCCAGATTTATTAATCTCCTCCATAGCTGCTTGAAAATCAGTCAATGTCTCGTTTCCTTGATCAAGTGTTTGCTGCCGTTCAGCTAGTTTTTTATCACCTTCTTGCAAGCCCCTTTCTTCTAAAACAGTTATGTTACCCTCTTTAGAAACATGAGGGTTATCGAAGCTTGAGAAGCGTTGATTGTAAAGCTTGAGCAAGTTTTCGAGATAATTCTTTAGCGCATCAACATAATTATAATTCTTGAGATGATGAGTCTATTGATAATTGTGGATTAAATATATACCATTATTATGAGAATAGTACAGTGGAAGCTCTCAATAACGTCTCCCCCTCCCTGTCACGTTCCTTGCCAAAAGGGTATAAACGACAAAAGGTAGGGTATAACCGATAAAAAGGGTATAACCGATATAAAGGGTATAACCTATGAAAGAGAACTGAACCGAAGAGCCGATGATTTTTCGGTTCGGATATCGGTTCTTCGGTTCCGGATATCCGAAGATTTTCCAAGAACCGACAACACTACAAAGGGTACTAAGACATAAGAGTAAAGAAAAAGAAGAATAAACTAGAGACCGAAACGGGATCGGGAGCGGTCTCGTTTCCCGGCTTTTTCGAAGATGCCGAGATGAAACCGGGATCGGGAATTCCCGGTTTTCCCGGTTTCGGGTTCGACCGGGTTCCTTCTCATGCAATTTTCCGGTTCCCGGTCTCGATTTTTTCAAAATTCCGGTCTCTAAAATAAACAATCAAAAAGGTGCAAAAGACAAAAGGGCTGAAACTATCACTTGTAGCGTCTGGCCAATTCAATCCCAAGGGTACCGTAATATAGAGATTCCACCGTATCTATCTAATTTTGCTTCGATATTTACCTTTCTCCCTGGTAGTTTATATTCTTCATTATGATTGAGCATTAAATCACGTATCGAATAACAATAAAGAAAACCATTTGTATTTACCAACTCGATTCCCTGTAGTACATCTGACCCACATTTTGTAGTATCAGCTAACATCCAAATTCTATCATTTGTGCACAGATCCTATAAAAAATTAAATCGAAGTACTAAACAGGCAAAAGCCATCCCAAAGGATTGGATGGGGCTTGATCCTGATTGCTCTCTGATGTGCAGGGCAGGGACCTGCACATCAGGCAGGGACCTGGGAAGGGCAGGGACCTGGGCAGGGCAGGGACCGACCGACAAAATTCACGATTCTCTAATATCTGGAATATTGTCGGTGAGATCCCTGGTGCAGGGTCACCGTTTTTTAGTTGCTATCCTGAGGGGTATGCAACAGGGGTGTGCCAGTTTCGCGTTTCGCCTTTCGCGGATTTTCGCGTTTTTTGGACTTTCGCGTTTCGCGTTTCGCGTGTCGCTTTTTTAAATTTACTTTCGCGTTTCACTTTTTAAATTTAATTTTGCCTTTCGCCTTTCGCGTTTCGCTTTTTAAAATCCGTTTCGGCACACCCCTGGTATGCAAACTTGCCGGCCTTAATTTGTATTAAATCCCAAGTTACCAATTTAATGTAGTGAATGTCGTAATCAACTCAGTGATCAAATAATAACCTTCCCTATTCGGGCAGCTATCAAACAAAGATTTACAATTATTCAATCCTAAGTCAATTGTCGGAAATTTAGATTCGGAAATAGCAACCGAATTTAGGGAAAAATTGGCAAAAGTGCTAGGTATGAGTGCCTAGGTACTGGTGCCGTTACCCTCTCCCTCTTCCATAAGCTTCTTATTCCTCTCTTGCTGTTTTTAAGATGACATTTGCCCTATTAATAAAACATACAGTATATCTAAAGGAACCATCATCCAAATCAAATTCAAAATTTGATAAAGCCACTTCAAGTCTAACTCCTTCTCTCATACTTGGAACTGTTGAATTTGGCTATAAAATTATACTTTTAATTAGTGTTAGTCCCGTGCCTCTAGGTAGTCCGATGTTGGTTTCGAACTAAACGTCCCGGACAAAAATAAATGTAAAATTCGGTGGGTGTAGGGAGGAAAAATACCCTTTAATCTTCCAATCTACAAATAAAGTAAAAATCTGACTCCTAAGCAATCCTAAAATTATAGCCGAAGGGTTCTTCTCGAAGTGTCAGGGATCAATTATACTTTCAAAAATAAAATTCATAATTTTTTACCCGTTTAGTTTTCTCCAGGAAATTTTCAATCAAATCAACAATTTCTTTCCTCTGTTGATAATTCAGCACTCCATCAGGATCACAAACCCAAACAGGTTTAGTAACACCACATTTCCAATAAGTAGTTCCTCTAGGGGATGGATAATCTTTCAAAGTCCATGAATGGGTTTGGATTATTAGACAGGTTATAATTAGAATTTTGGCAAGCATTCTCTCAAAATTAGAGTTGGCCGGTATCGGGATCACGATCCCGATCGGGCGGGATATCCAGTTTTTTTGAATCCCGCTGATTTTTCCGATCTCAAGACAGAAAGATAAATCCGATCCTGTTACTAATGATCACGAGACCGAGCCGGGATCTTGACCGAGCCGGGATAGCAATTGGATCCCGATCCTGATCGGACTCTGATCTCGAGACAGAAAGACAAATCCCGATCCCGATTTTTAATGATCCCGAGACCGAGCCGGGATAGTGATCGGGATTAGCAATTGGATCCCGATCCTGATCGGACTCTGATCCCGAGACCAAAAGATAAGTCCCGATCCCTGTTTTTAATGATCGCGAGACCGAGCCGGGATCCCAGTTTTTTTTTATCCCGATTCTGATCGGACTCTGAACCCAATACCGAAGGATAAATTCCGATCCCGATTTTTAATGATCACGAGACGAAGCCGGGTCACGATCACGAGACCAAGTCGTGATCGTTTATAATGATTATTTGAAATTGGATCCCGAACCAAATCTGGATTTTATATTTATATGAGAATATTAGTGAAGCAAATTTTATGCCGGAACCGGCCAACTCTACTCAAAATATAAAGCAAAATAATAAACAAATAGGAAAGATTTTAAAAAATATGTAGTTTGTTTGGCTCTATCCGAACGTGTCATTAAAAACAAAAAACATTTTTCCACTCCTTTTCTCTTTTGCTCCTTTACATCCTCTCGGAAGGGCTATCGGTTTTTAGTCTTTTTCCTTATCCTTAGTCTTTTACTCACCCTCCTTGCTTAAAAACTATTATTTCTGCAACAAATTAATCAAATAGTAACAAAAATAAATAGGCCTAGACAGGAAAAAGAGAGATCTGTTCAGCTGGCAGAATTTAAAAAAATGTTTAGGAGGGGATGTTTAACGGGGATGTGAACAATCATTATTAAATTGGTTGAAATTAATGCCCTAATTAGGAATATTTTAAAAACCATGCCCAGGGTAGAGGTCAGAAAAATCGTGTTTGCTAGATCTTGCAGGCGGGAGTAACCTTTAAAAAGGTCTGCAGGAGTAACTCCTGCGGGAATAATCCCGTACTCCCGCAAATCCGCCAATCCCGTCCGCAACGACCTCTAGTCCAGGGAGAGGTTGATTGAAACGGCAGATGGGAGGACCCCAACCCCGTTCGACCCCAAACCCGAACAGATAAAATTTTGATCGTGTTTACGCGATCCCGCATGCGGGAGTAACCTTTAAAAATGTCTGCGGGAGTAACTCCCGCGGGAATAATCCCGCACTCCCGCAAAATCCCTTCCGCACCTACCTCTAGTCCAGAGAGAGGTTGATTGAATACGCCATATTACGGTAGATGGGAGGTCGATTCTAAATCGACCCTCCCAGTCCGGTCTTTACTTAAATCACCTCTCAAGACTGATTTTTATTCTAAAGAATATTTAAAAAATTCAAGTATATTTCTTAACGACAAACAATACTGATAATTTATTTTGTTAAATTAATCTCTATTTGACTTTTATTCATCTTTATTCTTTTTTTAACAATCTCAACATGTTGGACATTAATTCGATTTCAGTTTCTAAAGCTCTTCTCTGTCGAAAATAATTTTTAAATTTGGCAATTAAATTAGAGTGCTTCCAGTAGTTAACACTAGAGAGCGGACCGAGGCGAGATTTGGAGCAAAAGCTTGGTCATCGAGATACCGATTCTCGATCGACCCTCCCAGTCCGGTCTCCAATTTACACTCCCCTTAACTCCCCACTAGATGAATACCTTATATATTGAACCAACTACCCCCTCTCAACTACCCCTCCTTATTAATTACGAGTGATGTTCAAGATTCTCGATCTAGGTTCCCGAGTCGGGAAATTTCCCGGGTTTTTTGAGCTCTCGGTCTTGGTGTTTTAGTCTCGTGAAACGAGAATAAATTTATTTCCCCTAATGACAGAAATTTTTTGATTCTAAGCAATTAACGTGAATAATAGTGGATTAAGTTGTATATCGAGAGATTTAGAGAGAGTAAAGGTATATTGTGGATTTGGGGATTCACTGGGGTTTGGGGGATTATGAAGGTTATCAGGAGATTTTTGGGGATCAGGAGGGTTATTATGTGAGGGATACCTTGTTCAGGGATAGGTTGATTGAATACGGTAGATTACGGTAGCTTGAACTATCTCTCATTTCTTCAACTATATTATGCTAACTTAAAAACACTTTACCTTCCAAAAATTTTTTTATCTCATTTGCCTTCAAAATATTAAACTTACAATTTTTTAGAAGGTTGTAGAGAAGCTTTCTCTTCATTAAGAACAGCAGGGTTATCGAAAATTGAGAAGCGGTGAATGTAAAGCATTTGCACGTTTTCAATATAATTTTTAGGGCATCAAAATAGTTTTTATTCTTGAGAAGGATTTCCTATAATAGGTACATATATCAGGTGCCGCCATAAAAAGTAAATTTCGAGAATTTCTGGAAATTTTCAGTTCCCGATTTCGGGAATAGATATTCCTGATCCAAAACCCCCAAATAAGAATTACCTATTTACGGGAAGTTTTGACAACTAGGATAGCAACCCGACACTTCGGAATCATGTGTGTCAGGGATCGGGGTTTTCCGGGGAGGGTATATCAGGATTCGGTGTCGGGTTGACTTTTCGGAAGGGGGCTCGTGTGGAATTTTCAAAAAGTTCCAAAAAATTTCTTCTTAGGGTATATGTTTAACCCCGACCCCTATTTGGGGTTTGCGTTGGGGATCGGGTTTTGTCGTGGGCCTTGGGGGTTCGGGTCGGGGTTTTTGCCAAAAATTCGTCGGGGTCTGGGTACGGGGGTCGTGTTGCTACCCTAATTCAAACTAATTTTTAAGCAAATTTTGTTTACATCTGCATAGCCAAGCTTTTCAAATTCATTATAATTGAGGGTCATTAACCAACGTAACGAATGGCAAACGCGAAAACCATCTGAATTTAATTCGATTCCCTGTACAACTGAATCACAGTCTGTTGTATGAATTGGCGTCCATTTTCTATCATTAAAGCACAACTTCTATATAATAAAAAATGTCATATTAATGTGAAATAATAGATGCTTGATTATTAAGCCCTTAAAATGTCCAATGTCATCAAAACTATTCTAAAAATTCGCATCCGAAAATTTGGCAAAAAACTAGGCAATTATAAGGGTTGTTCCCCGACGTGGGGGGGGGGGGAGGGGAGGGCCATCAGGAAAATTTTCGGGGACGTAGCGCCACTGGGGGACGGGGGGGTGACGGGGATGGGGACGGGGGAAATTTTTTCATTTTTACTGGGGGCGGGGGGGGGGGGAGGGGACGGGGACGGGGACGGGGAATTTTCAAAAAATTTCTAAATTCCCCGACTTTCGGGGACGGGGAACAACCCTAGAAATTATTATCTGCGACAGTCCTGACCCTATTTGACCATTATAGGTCCGTGCTTGTATCTGACCATTATGAGCCCACTTCGGAAAAACTTATTTGAGATAGCTCACAAGTACCCCCTACTCATCAAAAACATACAGTTGTTCCATTCCAACCATCTTCACGGCCAATTTTATCTTTTGCTAAAGCCACAACAAGTCTAAGTCCTTCTCTCATACAAGGAATCTTTGAATTTGGCTATAAAATTAAAATTGGCGGGAAAATAAAATTTAAATAGTCTCCTTACTCTTTTAGTTTTTTCCTTAAAATCCTCAACCATGTGAACAATTTCTTCTCTCTGTTGTTCAGTTAACATCCCATCAGGGTCACAAAGATAAGTTGGTTTGGTAACTCCACACTCAGAATAATTTTGTCCTCTAGGGGATGGATAATCATTCCAAGTCCATGAATGGGTTTTGATTATTAAACAGGTTATAATTAGAATTTTGAACATTTCTCGGATATTTCTCAATAAAAAATAAAAAATAAAGCACAATAATGAAAGAATTATTTTAAAAACTATGTAGTTTGGTTGGCCTATCCGAACTTGTCATTAAAAACAAAAAAACATTTCCACTCCTCTCAATGTTCCCCCTTAACATCCTCTCGGAAGGGCTATCGGTTTTTAGTCTTTTTCCTTATCCTTTGTCTTTTGCTTCCCCTGTTGCTTAAAATCTTTATTTATTTCTGCAACAATTAATCAAATAGTAAAAAAATAAATAGGCCTAGACGGGAGAAAGAGGGATCTGTTCATCTGGCAGAACTTTAAAAAATGCTTAGAGGGGGTTAAAAGATTTGTACGAGAGGAAAGAAAAAGTAAAGCTGTTCGCTTCTGAGGCCATAAGTTTTTTCGACTAGTAACCAAAAAAATAACGAATTAATGACCAGGTATTAGGGGGTGTTCCTTTGTAACAGGGACAAACCAGTTTAAACCGGGCTTCGAACAAAAACTGAGAGGGAGGAGAGAATTGATGATGAATGGGAGATCTCTCTGACTACCCGAGGGGGGGGGGGAGATCTCTCTGTCTACCCTCTCTGACTACCCGAGGGGCAGGGGGGGGGAGATCTCTCTGTCTACCCTCTCTGACTACCCGAGGGGCAGGGGGGGGGAGATCTCTCTGTCTACCCGAGGGCAAACAGTAAACATGTAGCAGGTAGGGTTGTCGGTTCCTAAAAATACTTCGGATATCCGAAAGATCATCTATAGAGCTTAATTTATTTTAAAATTTTTAAGTTTAAAAATAAATAGAATGATTTGAATTAATTATAGATAAATTAGGAATATTCTGAATAATTAAGATGAATCTATTGTTCTTATTGTTCTTAATTTTTATCTTTTGAATTTTCTTCAACTTTTTTTTCATTTTTCGTTTTTTCAACCATTTCAACATGTTGCATTGGTGTAATTAATCTTTGAAGCATTTTTCTGAATAATTTTAAAAATGAATTTTAAAAATAAAAAAATTAAATTAATTGCAAGAGCGCATTTGGAGGAGGGTAATTGTTTTTTCAATCTCTCGCTGACACGGGGAATTAATCGAGAGTGAGGAATTAATTGAGAAAATACGCTTTAGAATTAAAGCGGCTGTCCAATGCACTTTGGCCCCTATTAAGCTTCGTCGTTACGGAAGTGTCAGAAGAATCGAAGACTTTCTCATCAGTTTTTTGAGGTCCTAAAATTTATAGGAGCTTATTATCCTACCATCCTTGAACCCAATGACCGCCGAGGTATAACTTCGTTTAAAATATTAAAGCAGCTGGGCTATAGCTATTATATAGCTAGTGCAAAAGGTTTATCGGCGGCTGGGAGCGAACCAGCATCTTCAGTAGACTGGAGACTGATTTGTTAGCCATTACACCACGCCGCCTACTGCCCTTAGGAATTAAATAGCTATATGCTTTACAAAATTATCAAATCCGGAATTCCCTAATATGGTCCGATGCACCTCTACGAGCTGACCATACAAAGACATCTTCGATTTGAGCATTTTAGCGAAGTTATAGCTCGTCGGTACATTGGGCTACGGTATAATGCGGCGTTATCCTTTTAATTACATTAAATAAGACTCACAAATTATTAGAAAATAGGCCAATATATTCTAAAGGCTTAGTTGTATTCTTTTCAACAAGCATTTGGGGTTGTGATAATAATTGTTTAAGTTCCGATAATTTTTTGTTAGTCTCCACTAATGTTTTGTTCTGTTGATCAAGTGATTGCCTCATTTCTGTGAGTGTTTTCTTATTCTCCTCCATATTTTCAGTGAATTCAGATAATGTTTTGTTTTGTTGATCACGCATTTCTGATAATGGGTAGGTTTATGGATATGCCGCCGTTTTAGCTTGAGCCGCATTCTTCCTAAGATGTACATAATGGTCAGACGACATTTTGAGTGTCGATATTCTGGGTTGATCCCACTGTAGATAGAGTGGAATTTAGGAAGTCTGAACATTATGTACAACTTAAGGAGAACTATAGACTCAAACTATGGGAGCGGCATAACCATAAAGTACCTGATAATGTTTTTTTAGTATCTTGCAAGGAAAGGTGCATATCTGAGAGTGTTTTCTTATTATCCTCCATATCTGCAGTGAATTCAGATAATGTTTTGTTTTGTTGTTCCATTTCTGTTAACGTTGTCTTAGTATCTTGCAAGGATTGTTGGAGTTTTATGTTAGTTTCATTCGAAACGTGATTATCGAATATTGAGAATCGGCTATTATACAAATCGCTCAATTTTTTAATATATTCTGGCAGATCAAACAGATGACCCTGTCCCTGAAATAATTAAGTGAATAATTTAAAAAATTTTTTTAAGTTTTACATCTGGCATAAGACTTTCATAAATTTTTTTATGAAGAGGCATTAACCAACGTGATGCTGAATAGCAATGACTGAAACCGTTTGTATTTATTTCAATACCATGTAGATCTGAGTCGCATATTGTTTTATCTGAGGACTTCCAACTTTTGCACAAATTCTATGATGATAAATTTTTGTCGATAAGGCCGCGGGCATAACGACGCGAACCATAACTAGAGTTGGTCGAGGTCCTCACCGAGGCCGAGGTTCTCGCCCATTTTCAAACCTCGACCTCGATTTTGCTGATCGTGGGCCTCGGAACCTCGTCTCGATCCTCGCCTGATTCCCGAAATCGTGAATTCACAAGGTTTTTTGGGTCGGGATCCCGATTTCCCGAAATTGAGGATTAAAATTTCATCGGGAATTCCCGTTCCGATTCCTGAATTTTTTTTGAAAAATGGGAATTTTTAACACCATATCTGGCTTCTTTGCCTTCCAAAATTTCAAAATTTTCGACTGCGACGCTGGGATTGGCGTGATATTGGCGCTTTTCCTTGAGCGGAAAAGTATGGGATTTTCCTTGAAAAAGCCTCGGCTTCGGGTTTTTCAAGAAACCACGACCTCGACCAACTCTAACCAGAACAAGCTGGAAAAATTTGGCCCTTATCAATTTTGGTACCAATCTCTTTAGCTCGATAAGAGGGATCGTTTAATAGTAAATAAAGTAAGATAAAAAATCTTGAAGCAAGTTATGGCTTTGCGCCGTTATGGCAGAGCGTCCTTTTGTAATGTACCAATCAGAAACATACAGTTTGTCCAGAGGAAGAATTATCATTAATTTTATTTTTTGCTATAGCCACAACAAGTCTAAGTCCATCTCTCATACAAGGAACTATTGAATCTGGCTAAAATATTAAAGGATTTATCCTAGAAGGACAACTCCAAGCATTATTCCTCTTAATCTTATCAACTCCATTCAATCCGCTCTAAAACCACTTAACCACAAATTCTTTATCAGTCCAGATTTTGGAGCTGAGCTCCAGGGCCAGTCGACATTAAATGATACGAAGTTGTCCTACAAGGTCTTAATCTTCTGGGTTGATCTCAAATCAAATACTCATTAATAAATTTAATATGTTACCCTTTTTGTTTTTTTCTTAAAACCCTCAAGCACTTCAACAAGTATTTCCCTCGATTCATCCTTAAACATGCCATCAGGATCAGACCTGGGCGAAACTCCAAATTTTTTTTGGACGAAACGAAACGAAACAAAAATTTTTAAAAATCGTTTCGTTAACAAAACGAAACGAAACAGTCAGAATTTAACGAAACGAAACGAAACAAAACGAAACATTTTAATTTCCAAAAAAATCTCAAAAAACCTAATTATTTTATTAATTATTCAATTTTAAGCTTGTTAATTGGCCATTAATGACATTTATACCATCATATAATTATGTGGGACCACAAATTGTGGTCCCATTAGCCATGGGGCAACAATTTTTGATCCCAATTTGTGTTTAGCCATTGCAAATCATTTTAAATGTTCATTTTTCTCTTAATTTCACCTAATTCCCTATATCGCCATCAGGCCCATAGCCAGGATTTTTTTGTGGGGATAAAGGGAGGAAAATTTACTGCACCAAATTTTCGGCGCCGCTGAAAATTATGATTTTCAGCGGCGCAGGCGAAAATTATGAAAATTTTAGAAGGCTGTAGACCAACAAATTCCTTTTTTCTGCGCCGCAGGCGAAAATTTTTTTAATTTGAAGGCTAATAGGTCAGATTTCTTCTTTTTTCAGATAAGGTAAAAAGGGCAAATGCCTCCCAAATGAGCCTGGTACAAACTGAAACAGGGTGGTATGTACACTTGCCTCGATATCTCTTCCCACAAAATCCCTCGATATTACTATTAATCCCCCAATTTCTCCGATATCCCCATTAAGCATAAAAATGGGGATATCGGTGTATAAAACATAGTCGAGTATAGAACATAATATGAAGAATTTTTGAACAAAAACATATTGTCAATTGAAAAAATCAAAAATAATCTTGTAAATTATGCGCTGAAGACTCTTAAAATTCAGATTTCGGCGCCGCAGGCAAAAATTTTTTGAATTTCCATCACCAAAGTGGAAAATTTTTCAGTTTTTGAGTGATATTTTGGCTTAAAAAGTACCTAATGTTTCGTTAACGAAACACAGGTGTTTCGTTAACAAAACGAAACGAAACAAATTAAAAAGTGTTTCGTCACGAAACGAGACGAAACAGTAAAAAACATAACAAAACTAACGAAACAACGAAACGAAACGAAACGTTTCGCCCACGTCTGATCAGGATCACAAAGATGGTACTTTGTTTTTGAGACACGACATCCCCCTGCACCAGATGGATAATCATCCCAAGTCCACACACGAGTGGTTGAACATGTTTTGATTAATAGAAAGATTATAATCACAGTTTTGAGCATTTCTCTCAACAAAATTTTAAAATATTCGCTCTAAAGTAAGGAAAAATGAAAATTATTTAAAAATATGCGGTTTGTTTGCCCTATCTAAAATCGCTTTTATTTGCCCCTATACATCCTCGGAATGGCTCATAGTTTTTAGTTTTTTACAATTAACCATCCTTTTGTTTATAAATAAAGTGTGTTTTGATTTTTCCGTTTTTTGCTGCAACAAATCAAGTATAGTTAACACTAGAGTTGGGCCTCGAAGGCTTGGGGGCGGTTGTGTCGGAAAACGGGGTTTTTAAATTGTTTCGGGGCGGGGAACGGGTCAGGGAGAAGTCTGAAAAAACCGTTCGGGAGCGGGGTCGGGGAACGGGGTCGGGGCGCAACTCTAGTTAACACAAATAGTATTACAAACATTATAAGGATGATTCATCTGGCAGGCCTTAAAAAACTTTTAGGCGTGAACTAAAGATCATATAGAAATAATTAGAAAAAAGGGCAAGTTGTCACCACTATAGATCACTCGGTTCAGCTGCAAATAGCCGACGATGGTCGCCATAAATCAGGATCACAGCAAACTATCAAAATACACAGACAGATGACCAAGCTTTGTTCTATCAAAAAATATATCAAATTAACGAGTATAATATTTAATCACAATTTTTTACATTAAAAAAGATAACAAGAAAGTAAGTTTGTTTGAAAATCAAAATTGGATAAACAGCCTAGTTAACATTAGTACCTCGGGAAATGTTCGTGGAAAGTGGAAATAAAAAAGGAAGACGTGACATTAGCAGGAGGGTCTAAAAAGAATTCATCGCTGTTGCAGTTGGAATAAGATTGTTTATCGGTGGGTAAACGGGGACGAGACACAACCTTACAAGAAAATTCGAAGAAAATTTAACCAATAACTTTAAATGAATCACCTTTCAAGATTGATTTATCTTACACAATAATAAAAAAATTTAAAATTATTATATTTCAATTTTTAACATGGAAGATGAACAAGTATCGTAACGAGGATATCGTAACGAGGAGGTAAACACGAGGAGGTCGCAGGTTCGAATCCTGCGACTTTCTATAACTCCAAGACTCTGCATACCTTTTTTAAATATACTTTACTTGGAGTTTGCTTGCAAAGGAGAACAGCCTAAGCGAACTACCTCCCTCCTCCCTATGCATTTTTAAGATAACTTTAAATTTTTTAGCACTAAGAGTGTATTATATAGTGAACTTCGATTGTATTTAGATAAATTTAAAAGTTTAATAATTTATTTAATTTTTCTTCATCATCCTTCCTTTTCTTCTTCCATAGATGTATCTTCTCCACTAATCATTTGATCTTGTCTTAATAATTGTTCCATCTTGGATAATTTTTTGTTAGTCTCTTCCATTGCTATGTGAAAATCAGACAATGTTTTGTTCTGTTGATCAAGTGATTTCCGCATTTCTGCTAAAGTTTTCTTAGTATCTTGCAAGGAATGGTGCACTTCTGAGAGTGTTATGTTATCTTCATTAGGAGCATCATGATTATCGAAGATTGAGAAGCGGTGGTTGTAAAGCATGCGCAAGCCTTCAATATAACTCTTCAGTGCGTCAAAATAATTATTACTGTTGAGTAAATAATTCTTAATAATTAAACAATTTTATTTTGATAGTTCAATTAAGTAGTTTAATAAGTGTATCAAAAATTTTTTAATTTTTTACCTCTGATTTGTTGAGATGTTCAAATTCTTTGCTATGAAGGCTCATTAACCAATTTAACGAATAGCAATAACGGAAACCATCTGTATTTAATTCAATGCCATGTACATTTGGTTGGCATGTTGTTTCATCTGATGACTGCCATTTGTTATCAGTTGAGCATAAATACTATGAAATATAATTAAATAAGTCATTGTATTAAATAACACCTATTAATGTAATATAATGAATGTTCAGATTTATCCTGATAGCAATATAAAGCAGGACCGATAAACCGGATCTAAAATATTTGATTTCTTGTTCGTGTCGATCTAACACCGACAACCTTATTGTAATTTTCAGGAACAATTTTAATTATCAGCTTAAAAACATTTAAATTACCCGAACTCTTGAGTAGGGTTGGGGGCCATGTTCGGTTCGGTTCGAAAATCGAACCGGGCCTTGAATCGTGGCCCGAAAACGACTCGAACGTTACGGTTCGATAAAGATGGGGCCCGAAAAAATGACTCGAACGTAGGCCCGATTCGAAAACCCCAACCCTACTCTTGAGCCAATCCAAAACATACTTCTAGTCCAGTAGAAATATTCCCATAACCAATTTTATTTTTTGCCAAAGCTACAATAAGTCCAAGTCCTTCCCTCATATATTGATACTTTGATTTTGGCTATAAAATTTTTTCATAAATTAAATAAATATTCAATACTCTTTTCGTTTTTTCCTTAAAATCCTCAACCAATTCAACAATTTCTTTCCTCTGTTTATCAGTTAACATTCCATCGGGATCACAAACATTGCTTGGCCTTGAAACACCACATTTCGAATAATTTGGACCTCTAGGTGATGGATAATCTTCCCAAGTCCACGAATGGGTTTTGATTATTAGACAGATTAAAATCAGGAATTTGAACATTTCTTTCAATAAAATTTCAAAATATTCACTCTAAAATAACGAAAAATAGGAATTATTTAAAATTGTTTAGTTTGGCCCTATCTAAAATCGCTTTTATTTGCCCCTTTACACCCTCGGAATGGCTCTTAGCTTTTAATCTTTCACAACCAACTACCCGATTGTTTATACTTAAATAAAATGTGTTTTAGTTTTTCCGTTTTTAACGGCAATAAATTAATCAACTAGTTAACACAAATAGTATAATAGTTTACAACTATTATAAGGATGATTCATAGACCTTGAAAACTTTTAGGCGAGAGCTAAAGATCTATAAGAGAAAAAAGAGAGACCAAAGTTATCGACACTTTAGAATACTTGGCTTGGCTGCAACTGGCCAGCGATTAGCGATATAAATCAGACCCGAAGACCTACACCTGGGAGACCTTTTGCCCGAAAACCTACAACTTTTTAAAGGGAATATCAAGTGATTAAAGGGATTAAGGGGGATAAACACTCAAGTAGAGATTGATTTATCCGACCCTCTCGTGTTTGATTTATCCGATAAAATAATAAAAGAAATTTAAAAACTTTGAAGATAAACAGAATGATTACACATCAATTATTAATTAATTTTTAAATTATGAATAACCCAGCCACACTACAAGATATCTCCAATGCTAGTATACCTTTCTTTAACAAGGGAGATTTATGTGGGGGCATGTCTTTAGGGGCTTATATCTCGGTCCATATCTTATATCGGTCTTATATCTCGGTCATCTTTAGGGGCTTATATCGGCTTATATATCGTTACCATTTTGCGGAGATGATGAAAATTTCGCAATAAAGCAGGGTATAATCCACCTCAATGCAAAATTTCATCTTGTAGTTATACGGGAACCCCACATACTCTCCTTCGTAGTAGAATTAAGAAAAAGCAAGATTTTTTATTGCATGATTACATGTATCAGTGATAGTGAAGATTTATGTATTTAGATAAATTTAAAGGTTTAATAAATCTTTTATTTTTTGTATTTTTCCGTAATATGCCCACAAACTGAGTGGTAGTCGAATTTGATAGGCGATAAATTTTTGCTGCTGCATCCAATACGAATGTCTTTTATATCATTCTAAAGCCCTCGATATGCGCTATATCTTATCCAAGTTGATAAATCAGGTATGATCATTTGTTAAAAAGCTTAAACTCGAAAAGTATTGTTGTTTGGCGTTTTTCACATTTATTGGGTTATAACTTTTTAACGAGTGATCAGACCAAATCCATCAAATTGAAAAAAGATAGCCCAAATCGAGTGCTTTCGAATGATATAGAAGACAATCATATTGGATAAAGTCGCAAAAAGTTATAGGCGATCAAATCCGGCTACCACTCAGTCTATGGGTATATAACGGCTAAGTACCCATTTTTATTTATCATTCTTCTCCTTCTGTATTTATATTATTTCCTTTAAGCGAGTGATCTTGTGTTAACAATTGTCTCATCTCTGATAATTTTTTGTTAGTCTCCTCTATTTCTACGTAAAAAGCCGACAAAGTTTTGTTCTGTAGATCACGCATTTCTGATAAAGAATAGGTTTATGGATATGCCGCCCTCCCCGTTTTAGTCTCAGTCTCCTTAAAATCTACATAATGGTCAGTGGCAATATTTTGGGTCAACGATATTTAGATTTTTTGGGTCGATATTCTGAAGAGTCCACCCCAAAAGACCTAAACCCAGAGGACCTATACCCATAAGACCTCAAATTTCTAAAGCGAACATTGAGGGAATTAGAGGGATTAAGGAGTCAATATACCCAGCTCTATTAAGTTAAGTACCCGGGTCTATTTTAGAACCAATGGTGCCGTATTTTGAGTGTGTGTACCACAACTCTGTAGTGGTACAATCACACTAAATCCGACGATATTCCTTTAATCACTCCAAATCCTTCGATATTCCCTTTTGATATTCCCTTTCGAATGTTGTAGGTCTTTTTGTTCAAAAGTTTTTGTGTGTAGGTCTTTGAGGTTGACCCGATTCTGGGTTAATCCCATTGGACAGAATGGAATTTAGGAAGGAAGTCTAACCATTATGTACATCTTAAGAAAAACTCAGAGTCAAACTGGGGGAGGCATATCCATAAAGTACCTGATATTGTTTTCTTAGTATCTTGCAACGAATGTTGGAGTTCTGATAGTGTTATGTTATCTCCACTAGAAGCAACATGATTATCGAAAATTGAGAAGCTTTGAACGTAAAGCATGCGCAAATTTATAATATAATTTTTTAGCGCTTCAAAGTAGTTTTTATCGTTGAGATGGTGAATCTATAATTAAATTTAGTATTTGAGATACTGACAACATAAAAATAATTTCCGATTTGGGTATCGATCCCTGATTTTTACTTTTCAGGGGTCTAGCCGACCAGACTCACGAAAATCGGAAATTTCTCGCCGTTTTTGGAACGGCCATTCACGATGCACGATATCGGGAATTAGCACTGAAAACTCTTAGAGGTGTAGACCTATCTACACAGAGTTGAGTATTTATCCGTCTTTATTCTTTTAAATCACTTGATATCCCCTTTCAAAATGTTGTAGGTTTTTGTGCTAATAGTTTACGATGTTTAGGTCTTCGGGTCATTAGGTCTCCCAGGTGTGGGTCTTCGGGTCAGTAGGCTTCCCAGGTATGGGTCTTCGGGTCAGTAGGCTTCCCAGGTATGGGTCTTTGTGTTAACAGGTCTCCAAAGTGTAGTTTCGTGTCAATAAGCCTCTAAAGGGTAGGTTTTTGGGTCAAGTGGTCTCAAAGTTGTAGGTCTTCGGGTCATTGGGCTCCCAGGGGAAGGTTTTCATGGATTTCTTGGTTTTTTACCTCTGCTGTGATAAGATTTTCATATTGTTCTCTAGGGAGTGTCATTAACCAACGTGATGCTGAATAACAATAACGAAGACCATTTTCATTTAATTCAATTCCATGTACATCTGACTCGCATGTTGTTTTATCAGATGATGACCAACTTTTGCACAAACTCTATAGTAATAAAATTGAATCATTGTAGTAAATCTAACTTTATCAAGTAATATAATGGATGTTAAAATTAAATCATTGGTTAAACGCTACCCTTTCTTGTCCGAGTAGCATTTGGATAAGATTTAGGGAGCCAGTAAGACCCAAGATAATGTCCAAAATGCTTTCTAATGATAAGTCCACAATAGGGTTATGCGCCAAAATTTTCAGCGTGGAACGCCAGACGGCCATGACGCCCAGCCCAGGTCCACACGGCTTCTAAGGCTATTACTCTTGGAACTGCAATCAGCCCTATTTCCTATTAGGTAATTAAAAACATACTGTTTGTCCAGTGGAAGCATCATCATTAATTTTAATTTTTGCTAAAGCCACAACAAGTTTGAGACCTTCTCTCATACACGGTATTATTGAATTTGGCTTTAAAATTAAAAAGTCCAGCCCAGAATGTCAGCTCGCATGAGGTCAACATCCTATAAGTCAACTGCATAGTGGTCAAATACCATGGAGATCATCTCCAAATATTTGGGCCGATAAGGGAAAAATATCATGAATACGTTAGCCTGCTCCCCTTTGCCTTACCTGCATTTAAATAAGAGAATTTCCTCCCCTTAATCCTAACAAATCCACCTTAATTTGCCAATGTCCATCGATATCTACCGTATTCCCAAAAATCCGGCTTAACCTGTACAAATCCTTTACCTCACACATATTTGGATTTGACCTTCCAGGTTTAAACCATTCAATTAGATCCATCCGCCCAAAATTGATAGATTTATCACCCCAATCCCCATAAATTTATTTTATCAGCCCAAATTTCTAAGTTGAATTTGGGCCAGTTGACCTATAAGAAGTTGACCTTTTGGAAGTTGACATCCTGAGTTGCTGATTAAGGTCATCGGATGATTAGGGTTTGCTCTTCTGATATCCGGATCCGGAACCGAAATTATTATGTCAAAATTTGAGAAGTTTGGAAGGCCAAAGGTTTAGATTTCTTCCACCAAAAATCGATTTCTTCAATCTGCCTAATTCTAGGATCCGGAACAGAAAACTTCCGTATATCCGTCTTTTGTTGGATCCGGATATCTGGATCCGACAACCTTATTTTTGATCCCAAATTAGATATTAATTAAATTAAATATTCTTTTACTCTTTTTGTTTGTTCATTAAAATCCTCAATCAACTCAACAATTTCTTCTTTCTGTTCATTAGTTAACATTCTATTAGGATCGCAAAGATTGGCTGGTCTTGGGACGTGGCAGTTCCACTTTTCACTAAGAAACGGATAATCATTCCAAGTCCACGAATAGGACGGATATGAATGGGTTATGGATATTAGAGAGATTATAATCAGAATTTTGAACATTTTTCTTAACAAAATTATGAAATATTCGCTCTAAAGTAGGGAAAACGAAAATTATTTTTAAAAAAATGAAATTCGTCTGGCCTATCAGAAATCGTTTTATATTCTCTTTTACATCCTCGGAAAGGATCAGTTTTTAGTCTTTTGCTATCCTTTTGTTTATAAACAAATCTTTTATAAATTTCTGCAATAAATTAAGCAAATAGTAACTAAAATAGATAGGCATAGGCGGAGAGAGAATATTGTTCCATCTGGCAGAACTTTAAAAAACTATTAGGCGAGAACTTGGAATCTTTAAATGATAAACATTCTGTATATCCTCTACAATGTTCATCAAGACTGTCGTATGTAACACTTGGAAACAGCATATCCGTTTATCCGCGGGTAGCGACTAGAGTTAACACACTTTATGAATGATTGAAGTTAATTTAACTTGAGACATATCAAATAAATTATCCAGCGAAATAATTACGAAATTTTACTATATATTTACGAAATATTTTTTTATCTCATTTAAATTTAAAATAAGCAAAATAATTATTTATCAATTATAAATTAATCTTTAAATTGAATAAGATACACCCAATACAAGATACACACAAGATCCGTAAGGATGGCAAATCTGGGAAATCCACAGATCTCCGGTATCCTATCAGTAGATTTCCGGATATCCGGCCTTTTCTGATTAGAATTTGCCAATTTAAGAGTGGAGGATCACCTAGACGATACCCTCTATTTAAAATACCCTGGTTAGCAAATAAGATTTTACATCACTAAGGGTGTATCTCATACTGACTTGGTGGATTGCATTTAGAGAAATTAAAATTAGAGACGTCCAAGTGGCTTTGCCCTCCCACAGTTTTTGACCTCCCTCGAGTTTTATCATCCTTAATCGGGCTCGAACTTGGGTTCGGTAATTGAGTACCAAGTAATTGGGAAACCCCCGATTCGGTTTAAACCGAGTCTGTCTAAGTCTTTGGGTATTAGGATCATCCCCAAGTATCTGGATCCACATTCGAGCCCGAATAAGGTCGAAAAAACCCGAGAGAAGGCAAAAACTGCGGGAGGGTAAAACTACTCGGGCGTACTGTAATTTAAAGTTCCTTCTTATTTCGACTTTTTTCAATTTGAATTAGTGTTTTTGATATTAATTCTCTCATTTCCAATAATTCCATATTATTCTTATCTATGGCAGCACCAAATTTGTTTATTTTTTCGATTACTCCATCAAGTGATTGGTTTACTTTTGATAATATTTTTTCAGTATATTGCGATATTTGCTGCACTTGTGATAGTGTAGTTTCATCCTTGTTAGAATGATCATTTTTATCGAAAATTGAGAAACGGTGATCGTAAAGCATGAGCAAGTTTTCAATATAACTCTTTAGCGCTTCAAAGTAGTTTCCGTTTTCGTAGTTATGTTCCTGTTAATTAATCTAGTTTAAATAATATTTTGTTGAAGTGAATATTCTATTTTACTACAAAAGGAATGCCAGCCGAATTTGATCGACTTTAGCTTTTCGATGCTTGATCCAATTCAAATAAATATTATATCAGCCGAAAGCCCTCGATAAGAGGAATCTTTTTTTCCATCTTAATTGATCAAGTCTGATCCCTCGTTAAAGAAAAACACCAAATAACTGACTTATTGTGTTATAACTTTTAAATGAGTGATCCGACTTATCAATCCTATAGAAAAAGGGAATCAACCAAGAAGGTTAAAACCAGAAGTTCGAGATACTGGAAATCAAATGACCCAGAAGGTGGCCCCTCATGGGAGTGACTCTTCAAATAACCCCTGCTGGGCTGGATCCAAAAAAGGATCCACACGACTATTCATAATTTTTACCTCTGCTTTGTTAAGTCCTACATATTCATCTCTGTTAAGGATCATTAACCAATGCGTTGAATAGCAATAACGGAAACCATCTGTATTTAATTCAATTCCCTGTACAGCTGACCCACATTTTGGCTCACCCATTGACTTCCATTTATCATAGTAGCACAAATGCTATTATATAATAAAACATTAAGCTCAAAACTAACATAAAAACTAAGCTATATAAAACACGAGTGCCTGGGGAGAGGAGGAGGAGAGTGCCTCTACCTGTCTAGGGAGTGTTTGGGGGAGAGGAGGAGAGTGCCTCTACCTCTTTAACAAAGAAGGAGAGTGCCTCTACCTGTCTAGGGAGTGTTTGGGAGAGAGGAGGAGAGTGCCTCTACCTCTTTAACAAAGAAGGAGAGTGCCTCTACCTCTCTAACAAAGGAGAGCCTGGAGAGAGGAGACGGAGAGTGCCTCTACTTGTCTAAGGAAAGTGCCTGGAGAGAGGAAAAAGGGAGTGCCTCTACCATACTAAGGAGAGTGCCTCTAACAAAGGAGAGTGCCTCTACCTCTCTAACAAAGGAGAGTGCCTCTACCTGTTTGCAAAATTTCATGTCGAAGTCCTGCGGACACCCCACGCACTTTCCTTTGTAAACTTTTTTATATCAAGCACTAAGCCTTTCTATCTAGGCAACAATCGAAAAATACTGAATTTTCGACTATTTCGTTCTTTTTCTTTCCTGTTTATTCGGGACAACATTCACTAACCCGACTTATTCATCATAAATAGGGTTCCTGGAAATCTTCAGATATCTAAAACCAACAATCCCAATTAAAATCATACAGTTATTCCAGAGGGAGAATCGTCATCACCAATCTTATCTTTTGCCAAAGCCACGAATAGTTCAAGTCCCCCTCTCATGGACAGAAATTTTGAATTTGTCTATAAAAATAATTATTTTGAAAAATTAGATATCCAATACTCTTTTAGTTTTTTCCTTAAAATCCTCAGTCATTTGAACAATTTCTTCTCTCTGCTGATCAGTTAACATTCCATCTGGATCACAAACATTGCCTGGCCTTGAAACACGACATTTCGAATAATTAGGTCCTCTAGGGGATGGATAATCTTTCCAAGTCCATGAATGGGTTTTGATTAATAGACAGAATAAAACTATAAGTTTGAGCATTTCTCTCAATGAAAATTATAAAAATATTCGGTACTTTTCCGTTAATCGCCGCAAACTGCCGAATTTGAATTTGAACAGCCAGCCGAATTTGAACAGCTATAACTTTTTGATTCTTGACCTAATCAAATGAATTTTATATTATTCGAAAGCCCTCGATAAGCTCTATCTTTTAACAAATGCTCTGATCAGCTCTGATCACTCATAAAAAGTTACAAGTCAAAAAGTGCAAGAAATCGTTGTTTTTCACTATTATCGGGTTATAACTTTTTTATAGGTGATCAGAGCTGATCCATACATAGGGTAAAAGATAAGATTATCGAGGGCTTCCGAATGACATAAAATTCATCTGTATTAGATCAAGCATTAAAAAGTTATAGCCGTTCAAACGTCGGCTGGGTACTCAGTTATTAACGGAAAGAATTGACGGAAAAGTATCAAATATTCACTCAGTAACATAAAAATGGAAAATATTTTCAAAAAATAAATATGTAGTTTGGTTGACTCTATCTTAAAAATTTGTTATCGCATCCTCACCCCCTTCCCCCTTTTTTTTTTTTCATTATTTCCCCCTATTTTACACCATCGGACGGGCTGTCCGATTTTTAGTCTTTTTTGCGTTCCTTCGTATTTTGCTACCCCTCCAGTCGTTAAAAAATAAAATTTTATTTATTTTTGCAAAAATTAATCAAATAGTAAACAAAAAATAGTTTGGCTCAGACGGGACGGAGGAAAGGGGAACATAGACGGGACGGGGAGAGAGAGAGAGAGAGAGAGAGGGGGGGAATAAAAACAAGGCTGTTCGTTTCTAAGGCCATCAATTTTTTGAAAAAATTGCATAAAACTGTCAAATTGACGAAAATATTAGTTAATTTCTATATTTTTTGGTTTTACATTTGAAAAAATTAGAGGGATGGAGAGGGAAATTAGAGGTGACGGAGAGGGAAATTAGAAGGGATAGAGAGGGAAATTAGAAGGGATGGAGAGGGAAATTAGAAGGGATGGAGAGGGAAAATCAAGTAAACTAGATAACTCCAGGGGCAGTATTCTGAAACCGTGGTAGAATTACCTGATAAACTTACCAGGTTCATCTTACTCGGGCATAAAATACTCTGGTTAACAGAACTCAATGATTCAATGATTCTCAATGATTACTGCAGATGCGGGTTTTATTACACCAGGAACTAAACCATAGCTCAGGTTTAGACTGTAAATAGAGAGAGCAGAGAAAGTGGAAGGAAAACTCAGAGCTGTTTGATTCTAGGGCCATTAAATTTTTTCTATACATATCAAAACTGCCAAATTGACCAAAATAATGCATACCGTATTTACTCGATTAATTCCTCTCCTTCGAATAATTCCTCACTATCGAACAACTCCCCTTGTTACGGATAAATAATTCCCCATGGGAATTAATCGAGTGAATACGGTACAATATGCATATAGTATTCTCTGTTTTTTTTGTTTTTACTCTTGAAAAAAATATTGGATGAAAAGGACAAGCAAGTAAATGAGGACCAGAAAAAATATGTTTTGATTTTTTATCTTTACTACAAGCAACACGATTAATTTAAAAAATGATTTGACAAAATTGGTACAGTCGTACTTGATCATCTCTTTATTTTTCTTTCTTTTCAAAAATTTCAACAGGCTCTATTGGTGTCATTACTCTAAATTATTAGGAAAAAACTTTAATCAAATCCAAATTTTTTAAAAAGTCAGTTTTTGATATCCCCGAAATCCCCCTGAAATATCCCCACTAATTCTTTTATATTCGCCCTGGATCTTATTTCATAATATCCTCCTGGGAACTTGTCTAGTTTCTCCGCCCCCTTTATTCGCAAGCTTAAAATGGTCAAAGTAAACCTATGGGAGTCGGGGGACGTTTGTGCAACACCTAGCGTCTCGCCTTTGGTGTGTCACGCGTCTCCCGGAATCAACGTTTGCTCGGTTCCTCACGCAGTAACATAAGCCTTGTTAGCGTATTGGCGAATAAATGGGGTTATTGAGGCAATAATGGGTTGTGTCTTTGAATAAATGGGATTGAGACCTAGACTTGTTCCTCCTTAATCCACCCTCCTCATTAATCCACCCAAAGCTTATTAAAATGATTAGACCCAACTGAAGTCGGTAATTCCAAGGCTGGTCCCCCTTTTTTCCTTTCAATTTTTTTCGATTTTTAAACTTTTTATAGCAAATTATGGGTATGGCCCAAGTAGGCGCGCGGCCAAGTAGGCGCAAAGCCATAACTTGCTTCAAGATTTCCGAATCTTTCCAACTTTAGCATTAAACGATTACTCTCGTCGAGCTAAAGAGTTTGGTAACAAAATTGATAAGGGTCAGAAATTTTCTAGCAGGTTATGGCTTTGCGCCTACTTGGCTTAGTCGAACGGTTTCATAATTTGGTTCAAAATCTTTAAATCTATCCGATCATAGTATCATTCTACTCAGCTCAAAAAGCTCTTTCGAATGATATATTGTAAATTATATTTCAAGCAAAAAATCTCAAAATGGTCATGCGAACATAAAAAGGGGGGCAGCCTTGAAATTACCCTGAAGTCATCCCCCTTTTTTGCTCTCAGAGTTTTCCTTGTGATTTTTGTTCCTTACGAACCGTATTTCTCCATATCCTTCCACTGGTTGAAAACATGTTCAAATCGGAGAATTCGATAAAATAAAAATATAAGTATCAAGCAAATAAATATGGTTAATATTTTTCCATAACTGCAATTAAATTGTAAAAAGCTACTTTTAGATAAGGTCTTTAGAGAATTTTTAGTGTTCTATTAGAGGGAATAAGGCATCCTCAACTTTGGATTTACAGCTTTAAAGGAATGAAAATTTGATCTCGGTGGAGTGTTCCGGTGTTCCGTAACGGGAGCCGGCCAACGTACCGCGAGCCCAACGTACCGCGAGCCCAACGACCGCTGAGCTATAACTTCGTTCAAAATAGTCGAATCTGGGATGCCTTGGTAATGTTCGATGCATCTCGACGGGCTGAATCGAACCATATCAGGGCGTCACGGATTCGACCGTTTTGAACAAAGTTATAGCTCAGCGATACGTTGGCCTTGCGTACGTTGAGGGTGTAACCGTTCCGTAACTGTACCTACTTTAGAGAACCTATGGTCATTCGGACTTTATTGGAGTAATGGTTTATTTAAAAATAAATAAATCTAGAATTCTTCCTATTCGGCATCCGAATATTCCAGACATTCGGATCAGGATCCAGGGATTTCCCAGGATTCTCATACCCTTTTCAAGACAACGAAGGGAGAAGTCTAGAGATCGGAAAATAGAAAATCAAAGTCAAATTTTTCCTGACATATCCTCTAACTTTCCTTTAAATCCCCGATATTCCTCCAACTCTTCTAATATCCTTCTTAATCCTACAGATCCCTGATATCCCCGATTTATTGATTTAAGAAAGTTATCTGTAGATTTGGAACACTTAACAAGGCTTTTAAATTATTTGACCAAAGAATCTCAGAGTCATAGCGGAGACTAAAAAATTTCGCCTTTCGTCCTTCGCCTTTCGCCGATTTTCGCCTTTTTTGGACTTTCGTCTTTCGCCTTTCGCTTTTTAAAATCACTTTTGGCACACCCCTGGTACACATACACTTAATGCAGCTGGCAAATAGACCAACCATCCTTTAGGTTTAGTTTAGCACCATAAAATCTAAAGTAACAAAAATTTCTACTCATCTAAAGTTATGGTACGCATGCTTAAATCGCAGACTTTTCATTGGACGCATGAAGTTTTCTGGACGCAAATAGTGTTTTTGGAGTCTATCTTTTAACAAATAAGATTTAAAACTCACAAATTTTTAGAAGATTGTCGATCTCTCATTTCTGATAATTTTAACTTATTCTCCTCTATATCTGCACGTAATTGAGATAAAGTTATGTCCCCTTGACCCTCTTGCAAGGGTTGGTGGAAGTCTGATTGTGAAATTTTATCTTCTTTAGAAACCTCAGGATTATCGAAAATTGAGAAGCGGTGAATGTAAAGCATTTGTAATTTTATAATATAATCCCTGAGCACATCAAAATGATTATTATTGTTGAGTTGTTGATTCTATATATTTTAGGTCAAAAATAGAATTTCAGGTCTGTTACCAAATGACACTTGTGAATTCATTTGGCAACCGAACTTAACAGTTCTTCTTGTTCAGGGCCTACGCCCACTTGGTTTGGGACCGTTCCTTACCCTATCCCTAGAAATTTTTTTAAGTTATAAGCGTTTTTCTAAATTTAAAAGTTGGCTATAGCTTTCAGAAACGGTCCCAAACAAAGTGGGCATAGGTCCCGAGCATGAAGAACTTCAGTCCCAAGCTTACCCCTTCATTGTTAAGCGTTTGATATTTGTCTTTATTGAGGATCATTTCCCAATGTAAAATATGGCAATAAAAAAAGCCTTTTGAATTTAATTCAATTCCGTGTAAATCCGAATTACAAATTGTTGTATCAGATAAAGTCCATAATCTAGCGCTCAAGCACAAATTCTATAATATGGAATTAAAACAACTTCCAAATATCCGACTTTACTAGGCCAAATATGCACACAGATTACAAAATGATTGGACACTTATTTGGTCCTTCCCAAGGGACGTGAATAAATTCAAGGGCCGAGTTACTCGGGTAGCGGAACTTGAACTAGGCAAAGAGTTTGGCATCGCTACCCGCCTCTTATTCTCCCTATTTTGGAGACGTCTATCTCTATTTTTCCTTAATATGTACAGAATGTCACTAAATGTTAGCTATTGTCATTTAGTAATTAAATGTTATATATCACTAAATGTCAGCGATTGCCGTATCTATTTTGTGATATAAAGGTTTGGAGGGATAGTTGAAGGAATATCCTGGATATAGAGTATTTGGAGGAGATTTAGAGAGATAACAGGAGGATTTTGAGGGATTTTATGGATTATTGAATCCTCGCTGGGAGTCAACCCAAGCAACGGTTGACTCCCTCATACGAATGGATTTGCGGAATCCCGCTGACTCCTATAGGTTTGGTTGACCATTTTAAGCCTCTTTTGAGCTTTGGCGGGATGGTTGAAAAAATATAATGGGTATAAGAAGATTGAATATCCATGATTGAAATCAATGATTTTATATTCATGATTTGATTTTTTAATATTTTGCCCAATTTTACCATCTTTTTAACCTATTTTTAAGTGGCTGTTTCTTATTTTGGTGGTTTGGAAAATTTACCACCCTGGTAAAAACATTAGATAAGAGCTCATTAAAACATACAGTTATTCCTGAGGAAGTATCATCATAACCGATTTTATCTCTTGCTAAGGCCACAACAAGTCTAAGTCCTTCTCTCATACACGGAATTGTTGAATTTGGCTATAAAATTAAAATTGGCGGGAAAATAAAATTTAAATAATCTCCTTACTCTTTTAGTTTTATTCTTAAAATCCTCAACCAATCGAACAATTTCTTCTCGTTGATCACTATTTATCATGAAATCAGGATCACAAACATAGCTTGGATACCAACCTCCACATGTATAATAACTATGTCTAGGCGGTGGATAATCATACCATGTCCATGAATGAATTTTGCTTATTAAACTTATAATTAGTAGAAATTTGAACATTTCTCAACTGTAAAATATAAAATAAGGTGCTGATCGGGTTTAATAATAGGTGCTGATCGAGGCTAGCGAGGGGCTGATCGGGTTAATAAGGTGCTGATCGGGGCTAGCGAATAAAGTGCTGATCGGGTTAATAAGGTGCTGATCGGGTCTAGCGAGGGGCTGATTGTGTCTAATAATTGGTGCTGATCGGCGCTAGCGAATAAGTTGCTAATCGGTCTAGCGAGGGGCTGATCGGGTCATTTACCAAAGACTTGCCCGAAATGCCCGATACCGGGTCCCAACCCTAAAGGAGACCCATTGAAAAATAAAGACACGAGGCTTTATAGAACATTTACTGTATTTTATATTTGTCTCTCAAATCGACATGGAAGGTTTTTTAATAAAAGTAAAATCGAAAAATATGAATATGAGGCCTTCTTATATGCTTATAGAAGGCAAATAATGCTGGAAAAAAATGGAAATGTAAATATGATTGACAGTTATTTGAATATGTATGTGGAAATGTCGGTTAGGCAGAAAGGCATTTTTGAATATGATTGAGGAAGTGCCATTCAAACATGTTGAACGTAAAGTTTATGAGAAAATGGTTCTAGGGAGGGAAGAGGAAGTTTAAATATTGGGAAAAAGGTCATGTAGTAAGGCAAACAAATAGCAATCTACAACAGTAAGGGAGGTCAACTCCAAGGAGGTCAACGGGTGACGGGCAAAAGCAGTCTTCCAAAATAAAGTCCAGACAGAAGGCAGTCTGAGAAACAATTCTTACCAAAACACCGCCGACTCCCCTCCTAAAGGTCAACACCCTATAGTTCTTCGGCGTGGAGGTAAACTCGGCAACCAACAACCTAAATATTTGGGCGGATAAAGGATTTAAGATCAAGAATACGTTTCCTTATTCCAGCTCCTATTCAATCCTAACGATTCCTCCTTCTATTCAATGAAAAACTAAACAAGTTGAAGTTTATATAAGTATTTAGACAGATAGGGTAAATGAATTACGGTAAAAAGATACTTAACAAAATTTGCAGTCAGACTTCTCTATAATTATACACCCATTCCTATTCACCGATCTAAAAAGATCTCAGCGAGCTGAGTCGAATGTACCAAAATCAGCTTGATTTGGTGATTTTGAACAAAATTACGAGCAACGACTACGCCCATAGGTTTGCTTTGACCATTTTGAGCCCCTTTGTCTAAGCTCAGACATGAGACTGCGGGCTGACTTTGATGTCATTCAGCTCGTATATCGTGCTCTTTCGATTGTTCAAATCTAAAATAACCCGTTAAAATTTTTGGTGTGATTAATTAAAATAAGTTCCAAATAATTACGGTATTCCAAACTACACCTCCCAAAGTAGTATATTATAAGGATGTCCGACTGTATTTAAGAAATTTAGTGGTTTAAAAAAGTTTTTGATTTTTCTACACGTTCCTTCCTCTTATTTTTCTTTCTTTTCAATAACTTCAACAGGTTCTATTGGTGTCAGAACTCTAAATTATTTGAAAAAACTTTATTTTGAGTAAGTTGAAAAATTAAAAATATTTGATCAGATCCAGATTTTTTTAAAAAGACTAAGTTTTTAAAACTCGTAAAATTCCTCATAAAACTTTATTGCCAAAAAAACTCATGGGGAGTATAAGGAGCAAACAGAAGTATGTTGTGGGAGTTTTCTTAAGCAATCAGCCACCGATACCCCCGTTAATCCTACTAATATTAAACTGTTTAAATCTAACTGAGACACAATAAGTGGGAGGGACTCAATCGCAACTGGCTTGTACTAAAAATTTTGGGGTATTATAGGCCAGAATTTGGGGTCACCCAAGAAGTCCTGACGGTAATTCTTCGGTTCGTATACCCTGCTCTTTGTGCACCCCTTTTTTCCTTGTTTTTCATGAAACAACTAGTTAAAAGGATTATGTATGAGTAATATTTATGTATGAGAAAAGTCAGGAAAAATTCATTAACATCATTCAATAACTAATATGGAAAAACTAAAAAATTTTGACATGATTGACTTGTGTGACAAAATGCGACTAAGTGACAACGAATTCGATGTTTGGCAGAAGAGCTTGGCTAGAAGACTTACAATCCTCATAAAAAATAAGGGAGAAAGGGGAGGAAAAATGAAAAAATGTTAAGGAAAAAGGGGGGCACAAAGAGCAGGTATACAAACCGAAGAATTACCGTCCTGACCCAGGAGGTAAACTGACTAGAAAGTTCCTATTGGTCAAGCTAGAAGGTCAATCCAAATATTTATGTGGATAAAGGTTAATCAGTATCAAGAATACGTTTTCTTTCTTCCTTTTTGCCTTATCCAACAGTTACAAGAAAATTTCCTTCTCATGTCCCTTAAGCCCCTATAATCCCAACAAATCCATCTTAATTGCTAAATCCACTAGAATCACTTTCAATACCCAAAAGTCCGTCTTAATCTCACAAAGCCTTCTTTATCTCCTCGAATATTTGGATTTGACCTTCTGATTCTTTGACTTCCTGGGTTCTGACCTTCTGGGGTGATCCCCAGGATTTGATTTTCTAGCCCTTCTCAAAATACCGTATTTCATCAAATACAGCCTTATGGGGCCCTATTTTTGAACTATCCTCCATGGTGGGGCTCTATTGAGGGAGGGGCTCTATTTAGGGAGGGGCTCTATTTGAAGAAATGCGGTATTTCGAATTCATCTGAGAAGTTTTAATTTTACCGATCTCTTGCCATTAATTCTTCCATATCAATATTTAAAGCCTTCCTCTGTTCAAAATAATTTTCGAGTCGTCGAATACGACAAATTATATATAAAAGCACCAGGCCAATAATCAAACAAAAGATGATTGATATTATTCCATATCTCCAATATAAGGACGTAGTTATATTTTTTCCAATAAGCATTTGATCTTGTGATTGTCTTATTTCTGATATTCTTTTCGTATTCTTCTCTATAGCTGTTTGAAAACCAGAAGATTTTTTGTTTTGTTGATCAAGTGATTGCTGCATTTCTACCATTGTTTTTTTAGTATCTTGCAAGGAATGCTGTACTTGTAATATTTTTATCTTGTTATCTTCAGTAGAAACATCAGGATCATCGAAAATTGAGAAGCGGTGAAAGTAAAGCATGCGCAAAATTTCAATATAATTTTTTAGGGCATCGAAATAGTTTTTATTGTTGACATTATCTTTCTATAATAAATAATAAAAACACTTTTTGATATGAATTTCGGTACTTGTGAGTTATCCCAAACCAGTTTTTGCGGACATATTTTGCGGACACTTTTGTATACACAGAATGGTCAGTCTCCCTCCTTTCCTCAATTTCACTATATTTCACGATGGCATTATCTAATGAGAGGCAATAAAGAAAGGATTATTTTTAAATATAAATGACCGATTTTTAAATCATGTTTGCATCTCAATGAATAATGCCATAGTGAAATATAGTGAAATTGAGGAAAGAGGAAGAATGACCATTCTGTGTATACAAAATGAGTCCGCAAAATACGTCCACAAAAACCGTGACACTTACCAAATCGTGGAACGACCAAAATACGGTATAAACAAAATGTGGACTAAGCGAACAAAGTTGTGACCGTTTATTTTATCCACTTGCATTTACACAAAAAATTTACCCAAATGGGATTTAGCTTCATAATTTCGGTAAGAATGATCAGCTCAAGCCAAACATGGTATCATTCGACCATGATCGAAGAGCTTTTCCGAATGATATATGATAAATTATGTTCACACAAAAAAGCTCAAAATGGTCAGGGAAACTCTGAAAAAGGGGGGGCGAATAAAAAACTATTACCGCCAAATTTTTTAAATTTCTACCCATGCCTTGCCGAGCGTTTCATATTCTTCTTTATTAAGGACAATAAACGAAAATGCACAATAGCAATAGCGAAAACCATCTGTATTTAATTCAACTCCGTGTACAGATGAATCACTGCTTGTTGTATCAATTGGTGTCCATCTTCTATCATTCATGCACAAATTCTACATAATTTAATCAGATTAAATTGTTTTTTTAAATTCAATCTTATTGTTCTGTATGTGCAGAAACAACGGTTGAATTTTACATTATTCAGTTTTGAAATTCGCAAACGAACTTGGCAAAAACCAAAGAAATCCGTTAAAAACATACGGTTATTCCAGAGGAGGTATTGTCAGGACGAACTTTATCTCTTGCTAAAGCCACAACAAGTCTGAGTCCTTCTCTCATACAGGGAAAAGTTGAATTTGGCTATAAAATTGGAATTGGCGGGAAAATAAAATTTAAATATTTTCCTTACTCTTTTAGTTTTTTCCTTAAAATCCTCAACCAATCCAACAATTTCCTCTCTCTGTTGATCAGTTAACATTCCATCAGGGTCACAAAGATAAGTTGGTTTTGAAACTCGACATTTCGAATAATCTCGTCCTCTAGGTGATGGATAATCATCCCAAGTCCACGAACGGGACCATGAATGGGTTTTGATTATTAAACATATCAGAATTAAAAATTTGAACATTTCTCTACAGAATTATTTAAAAAGTTTATTTTATTTCAAATAAAATTAATTTCAATATAGGATGGAAGAGTGAGGAGCAACTCAAGGATTACCAAGTCAAGGGGTCGACCAAATTGAGCATTTCTCAACTATAAAATATGAAAATAAGGTGCTGATCAAGTCTATAATATAAGGTGCAAGTCTATAATATAAGTATGTATTTGTCTCTCAAATTGACATTAAGCTTATTTATATTTAAGAAAGGTTTTTAATAAAATTAAAGTGAACAATATGAATAGGAGATGGTCTTTAGATGCTTATAGACAGGCAAATAATTCTGGAAAAGGATTGGAAATGTAACTATGGTTGACATATATTTAAACATGTAGGGGGAAATGTCGGGTAGGCAGAAAGGAATTTTTGAATATGATTGAGGACGTGCCATTCAAACATGATGAAAGTAAAGTTTATGAGAAAATTGTTTGAGGGAGGAAGGTAACTACAACAGTAAGGGAGGTCAACTCCAAGGAGGTCAACGGGTGACGGGCAGAACTCAGTCATCCAAAATAAAGTCCAGACAGAAGACAGTCCGAAAAACAGTCTTACCAAAGCACAGCCGGCTCCACCCTCTAGATGTCAACACCCTATAGTTCAACATCTTAGAGGTCAATTCCCTATTGTCAACGGACTAAAGATGGCGGTTCCTGGGAAATCTCCGGATATTCGGAACCGGAACCCATATCCGAACCGAAGATTTCCGGATATCCGAGGTTTTTCGGTTCCGGATACCCGGACCGCCAACCTTACAATGGACAACAGCATCAACTATCACGAGGGCAACTGTTTCAACACATATATTTGGGCCGATAAAGGAATTAAGATCAAAAATATCTAACATTTTTAGTATATTCTCGCTCTTATCTAACATAGGCCTAGAGAATTTCGAAATTTATCCCTTGATTTCTTATCTCTTGATTTCTCTTAATTCTAGCAAATCTATTATAATCCGCACAGATTCATCAATATACTCCTTAACAGACTAGGACACGGATACTAATCTTGGTATCCGTATCCGCATATTTACGGCGGATACAGACGGATACAGGCAGATATCCGCAGGCATTTTGATATTATCTGTATCCATATCCGTATCCATGTTCAATATACTCCTTAATCTACCGATATACCCCTTAACTATCAATTAGGACAAAATTTCAAAATAATATTTTTGTTAAATATTGAGCATAATAATTTATTTATTAATTATAAGATCTTTAGATCAAGAATAAAATAGTTTAACTATAAAATACACCCAATAGGATACACCTCTATTTGAGAGCCTACTAGTTACCCACTACTAGTTACCTAAGTGATGTACTCTATTTAATTTACAATTCGTTTGAAGATAAAAAAGTTCAGCACTAAGAGTGTTTTTTAGTCTGCTCCAAAGCCGCTTTTACTCCTATAACATCTTTTAGCATGTTATCCCTCTCAATTCCCTCAAACTCCCGATATCCCTCTTAATTTCTTCTAATCCCAAGATAACTCTCATAATCTCTTTTATCCCACGATATTCTCTTTATTCTTCAGAACCATCTATACTTTTAAAAAATTTAGGTTCAGGACCCAGATATACAAAAATTACGGTTTGGATATCGAATCCGGATAGCTCGGTGAATTCATAGGAAGCGGTAACTTTATTACTAGGAGTTTATATTAGTGATCGGGTATACGGTTTTTCGGATCGGGTATATGGTCCGAAAAAAGTTAGGTTTCGTGTATCGGGTCGAATTTCGAGTCGGGTCTGCTAGAGGTATATCAGAGATGCCATGAGTATCAGAGATGCCATAATCTTATTCTGCTCTATAGTTGCACCGAAAAATCCTCTGTCAGAGGGATTTCGAAGGAAATCAGTAGGGGTTTGGGTCGGGGTTTTGAAAAATCTTTCGGGGGTCACTTTAGTACGTGGGTCCCGGAGTTAATATACAAATGTTATACCATTCGAAAGACTCCTCGAGCTGAGATATAGGCCTCTGAAAACTGTTAATCCAAAGGGTTGATTTTTGGAATTAATAATTTTTTAACCATATTATATCTCATTTGAAAGAGCTCGACAAGCTGAGTCGAATGACACCAAAATCACCGTGATTGAATAAGATTAGACAAAGTTACGATAGAAAAACTAAAACCTAAACCTATAGGGCGTCGGCGAGGCGCTTGTGCAAAACCCCGCGCTTCGCGCGGGGTTTTGCGGCACGCGCCTCGCGGGGAGTCTACGGGCGATGGGTCTGGGCTCGTAACATAAACCTATTCCTATCTCCCTTGCTCTGGACGTATTTGGGGCCTCCGTAGCAGCAAAAATCGATGCAGATGCCATAGGTAAGGAGCTAAAATAAAAAATCATAACTTTGTCCAATCAAGTCGGATTTCGTTGATTTTGGTGTCATTCGACTCAGCTCGAGGAACTCTTTCGAATGAGGTATCATTTGCATTTTCGAATTTTTCACCCCAAAAAAGTGCTTGGTCCCCCCTATGCTTTTTCAAATTTCGGGGACCTATATCTCGGTCCAAAAATTTTTCCTCGGGCTAAAACTGGTGTCATTCGACTCAGCTCGAGGAGCTCTTTCGAATGGTATAACATTTGTATATTAACTCCGGGACCCACGTACTAAAGTACAGCCATCTTTCGGACTGTGTTTCGGGTATCGAGTCTGTAAAAGTCCGAGTTTCGGGTATTGGGTAACCCATGACATATCATGGTGTATTTTATAGTGAACTTGGACAATTTAAAAGTTTAACAAGGGACTTGTCGCTTCATCCTTTTCCCTCCTTCTTTCAATACTTTCAATGGATTGAATTGGTGTCATTAATTCGATTTCAGTTTTTGAAGTCTTCCTTTGATTAAAATAATTTTCAAATTGGCGAAGTCGATAGAACAAGAATATAAATCCAAGGCCAATAGTAAAGAATAATAAGGTTGATATTACTCCATATGAATTATTCTCCTCTAAAGATGCTTGGTGATCAAGTGATTGCCTCATTTCTGATAATTTTAGCTTATTGTCCTCTATAGCTGCACTGAATGCAGATAATGTTTTGTTTTGTTGATCACGCATTTCTTCCAAGGAATGCCGCATTTATGATAGTGCATCATTGAAATCTTCATTAGAAGTATTATCGAAAATTGAGAAGCGGTCAATGTAAAGCATCCGCATGTTTAAAATATAATTTTTCAGTATAGTAAAATAGTCTCCATTGCGTAAGTGAAGGTGCTAAATGTATGTATTTACAATATCAGGGACCCTGCCGAGCGAGCTACACGAAAATTTTATTTCGAAATAACCCAAAACAAACAAGAATAGTTTTTAAACGAAATGGAAGAAAGAAAATTTTCGCAAATCTAAGCTCTTCTGCCGGTACGTGTGTAGTTTACACCAGGGTTGCCGCGGGTACAAAAAATCTTCGGGTACGGGTTTCGGGTATCGGGTTGGAGCGTTTTCATTTCGGGTCACGGGTTTCGGGTTGGCAAAAATATCGGGTACGGGTTTCGGGTTTCGGGTTATAAAATTTTCATTTCGGGTATCGGGTTTCGGGTTGGCAAAAATTTCGGGTACGGGTTTCGTGTTTGGC